AATTATAAAAGGTTTGGAGAAGTCTAGGGAAATGATTAAAGGACTGGAGAACATTTCTTACAGGGAAGAAGGGAAAAAAAAATATAGAAAAAAAAGAAAATCAGCATAATTATTTTGTTTCCAAAATTGAAGGTTAAGAAGCGACATGATTGGTGATTAAACATTTCTTCCCGATGAAATCTGATAACAGAGAACTTCTCAACTAGAAAACATAAGGACAATAATCCTTTCTTATTATTCTTACCAAATAATAGCAGCATTTCTGTGGGATGATTCTGATTCACAGTGATACCCATATTAATGCCTCAAATTCCTTTCCTGAAAGTAATTTCTGATCTCTACATGATTCTAATTCTCAGTGTCAGAAATAGCCAGGCAATTTCTGCCATAATTATGTATTGAAAACTTCATCCTGTTGAAAATTTCAAGTAGATAAAATGAGGCTGCCTTCTAAGCATCTAAGAATGTATGATGCAGTTCCCACCTGAGGTGTCTCTTTCCAAACTATTTGAAATTTTCTGTGCTCTTGATCCATGTGACATCACAGGGTTTCTCAAAGTGGAGTGCTCTATAACTCATCTCCTTTGAAAAATTGGCCCTTTGCAGCTTATCCAGAGTCACAAATAAAACTGTGGCTAGTGATAAAAAATGCGAAACAGATCTGACTTCTACCTTCTGTTCAAGTTACCACTAGACTTCCGTGGTAATAATATATAATGATTAACAGTTACTTCATTATATCCACGTGATAGCATTTACAGACTCTGACATCCTATTCAGAACTCCAGAGTCCGACACCTGTAATATATTTAGTCAGTCAAGACAGAAATAATTAAAACTAAAGCAACATTTAAGCACTGTGGACTATCCAGTTTCTGGATTATACAGACATTAAACTTCAGGCAATGGAGAACTTCACTGTGAACAAAACAGTTCTCCTCTAAAATGTATACGAGAGATAGGTGATGTCCGAGGGGGATTTTGAGGCTCCTAGTCCCAAATTTAGAGACTAGAGTCTCCGGCTTTAATCCTAGGCACTGGCACACAGTGCATATGGAAAAGTTTTCATGTGCTACAGTTTATGTTCTAATCTAAACAGTACAATATAAACTGTGGCATGTGTTATTTCACAGATGACACAGTTTTCAAGTTATGATAGTTTAGTAGTGTCCCAGGCTCTTGGTTCCCACACATTCCACAACTTTTTTCAGTTTCCAGAACTGTCGTCAAAAGCAGCTACAGACTGCTGGATGACACTGAGAGAAAAGAGAGAAAAAGATATGCAGTATATTTAGATAATAAATTGTGATGAATCTGTGTCATGACAGTATCTGTTACTATGATGATAGGCCAGGATTGCAATCAGACAGTTAAAACCAGTTAGTTTAAGAAAACAAAATTGTTTCCAGTAGAAGGCCATTATAAGCAGTAGAGAAAATCTTTTTCCTCATCCTCTTCTCCAGCACTCTCTGACTTCTGCCACAATAAATCACAGTCACAGATATACTTTTTTTTTTTTTTTTTTTTTTTTCCCAAAAAATTAATTATCTCCAAATTACAAGAATAATTTCTTTAGAATAGTTTATCTACCTACCCTGGCAAACATTAATTTAATGTCAAAGTTACCTGGTTTTAGGACTATTTAGTGCTTTGATTGCTGTTTTTGAATTGATTTGATCCTAGTCAACTAACTTTGCATTTTCAATATCAGTCAAATTTTCAGAGTAAATGGATACATGCTTTACCACCTCCTGTTTAACTGGCATAAGTTAAGATCCATGTTTTAAACCTGAACTCTTGAATTTTCTCTTCATATATGTAGAATCTTCATTAGTCCTTTTATGAAATATTAGATATCATATGCAGTAGAGGTCTTTTTTATTTTTATGTAACACTTTTCTACAATACCACTGAAGAGTTTAATTTAGTGTGATGTATGTATTATGTGATTTTGTTTTCCTTCCAGAGGTGCAATTCTCAATATGAATGGGAACAGAAAGAAAAGTACCCCACAGCAAAATGGAAGCAATACGCTAACATATTTGTTTAGAGATGCAAACTTCAAACAAAGGATTTTCATAGCTCATTTATTGTCAGTTCATCAAGAAGAAACACTTGAAAGTTGCAAATGCTTTGATGAAACATGTGGAAATAAATTTACAACCTATCTAAAATACAAAAGTCAGATTCTGCTCTAGGCTGAGTCTGTTAAAGTTATGACATTTACAAACCAAGAAAGACTTGGAGTTACAACCTTCCTTGCTAAGAACCTACTCTGTACCAAGGGACACACAAAGATCTGTTTAGTACATGCTGCATCTGTGCCTGCACATATTAGTTTATTAATTTAACCTAGTTTACCTTCCAGGGGGTAAAATGACATCAGCTTGTCTTTAGAAAATGTCATTGTGTTAATTCAGGTTATTCAGGCGTGTACTTTGAATTAGGAAAAAAAGCACCATCTAAGTACATAGGGAATGTGATCCATTTTAAGTTAGAATTATTATAAATAGTTCAACATTCATGGCAAGTGTGTTCTCCTCCTGGTTCAGGTCAATAAAGAAAAGTATAATAAATCAATCCTAAAGACTGATGGGTTAATTTATGGTTATACTGCATGTCATCATGCACTCTAAGTTTGTTAAAATATTACTGAGACCTTCTGAAGTTTAGAAAAATTGGATTCCTTTAAACTGTCATCCATAGGTAGATTTATTCCCAAAGTTTGTGTTTGGTAACTTAAATTTAACTGAGATTTTCTGTTCCAGCCATCAACATTCAAGGTTTAACTGTGTTATCTTACTTGGTTTTGCAGAGATTAAAAGGATTTTAATGGTAAATTGAGAAAGATAACTTCTCTTTCTACCCTGTACTATGTGCTTTTGAAAATGGCTTTTCTTGTTGCCACAAAAATCTGTTTGAAGCACAGCATCTTGTTTCAGAGAACATAAATAACTCAGACCAAGTTAATGATCCCTTGCTTTGATCTTGCATATCCCCTCATACGAGTAGCACAATGAAACATATAGGATAATGCTTGCAAGTACAGGCTTTTTGTGCTAGTAAAAGTTATCAGCTTTGTGCCTACAGTCTTTTGTAATGATGAGGAGACAAACAGTGCTGCATCTGAACTCTAAGGTTTCATTTTAGTTCTATAGGAGGAATGATGGTAGAAAAAAAAGACTATTTCATTACCCTTGCTAATGTCCAAAGACATCTATGCTCCTTATTATGTGATATATAAAGGAAGGGTTTTATTTGCCTCTTCTGTATGAATGATCGTACACTGGATCAGTCACCATTATGCATCCTGGGCAAAATTCAGCTGGATTCATGCATTCACACCAGCAAATAAGGGCATCCAAAATACATCTGACAGTTTTCAGGATGTGGAGATTGTTCCAAACTTTCAGGCTTTTACTTCATGTAAATAGTCCAAGTGAATCAACCCTATGAATGAAATTTCCTCAGCTGAATCCTATTGAAGCAATTGAGTTAAATAGATATATTTCTATCTAATATAAATTTAAAAATTAATTATATTTGTGGCATATTTTTTGTTGAAATAAAATGACATTAAAATTTCCATTTAATCTGAATAGGGTTGCTCACTGAGGATGTGTATTGCAGATGGGGGAAGACTGAATATGCAAGATCTAATCTTTATGGGTCTAACCGCTTCACAGGTTTTTATTAAGGTCAATAAGTATTACCAAATCTAAAGAAATAGAAGCTGCAAAAGTATTATTAAATATATTACCGTATGATAGGAATCCAAACTGAGTTGCTGCCTCTTTTCTTGAAAAGCAAATATAAAGGCATACCCTTCAATATCTACAGTTAACTTTTTTACAGTGCATTACATAGGAGCAAGGTAGCTTAGTAATTAGGGAAAAATCAGCTGTGCAGGATGAGTCACCCAAAGCAAGAAGCCTGAAAACAAAGATACTCATTCAGGCAGGATGAGACTTCTGCTTTGCCTTTTCCAGTCCAGCCACATTCAGTGATTTGTGGGCTGGCCAAACTCCATCAAGTCCCCCAGGGTCACAGGGAAATTCTTCCTGCCCCATCACTGCTGAATCTTGACTCTGCAGCTCTTCCCTTCTGCATGCACGGCTCTGCTCAAGACCCTACCGCGCTCTGCTCAAGTCTCTGCCTTTCCTCTGCAAGCTCCTCATTTTCTGGCTCATGCCTTCACCTACCTTCTCCCCTCCAACTTTGACAACATGTACAAAACATTCCTGGAGGCCTCAGGAAGGTTTTTATGTTGATCTTGGTTGATCTTTGGGGATAAACAAACTCTTTCTTCTTCTGAGGTCTCCCTTGACCCAAAGGGCCACTTGAGAGCAAAGGTATTTGTCCTCCCTTGTTTCTACTGACAACTTTTCCATCAGGTTGTACACGAAACAGCATTTACATTATAAAGTTAAGACAGCTAGATTAAGTAGCTTTGTTTGTCATGTCATTAGAAGTCACATTTGCAAGGAGGTGGTTTGAATGCAGCTGTAATGGAGTGAATACAATAACATTTATAATCATTTGGAAAATAATCTATAGGAAACATCTTAAATTAATTATTAATATAAATTATTAGAACAGTATTAACTCAGAAAATAACAGCATTAGAAACCAGGATCCAGATCCTCAGAATTTCGTCATCTGTTTCTATAATTATTCAAAATATTCATGGTTGACTTTATGACAGTGATAAGGCCAGTGTTTAGAAGTGCTGCTACTTTCCCTGGGGAGTGACTGGAAGTAAACACCACACTGGGCAGTGGTGAGGTGGAGATCGGAACTTTCTTAGTTTATCACAAGTCCAATTTTGTTAACAGTTAAGGGCAGATTTGCAAAGAGTAAATCCCATCTCTGTCATTTAAAATCTCTCTACCATACTTCTCCTTTTCCTGTGTCAAAAATTGAGCGTTATGGGTCATCAGTTTTTTCCTTCTCAAGTAATTTATTCTGTTAATTCTGTGCTTCTGTAGCTGCCTAGTATCTAAGAAAAGCACTATTTTCAATATTTACACCACAGTTTCCCTATAGCAGATGTATGCAGTCAGGTTTTCTTCAGCTGGGGAAATCGAAGGGCTTAGCACATCCAGACTGTTCCAACCTGGGAAAGTCACCCTCTTGGTTATGACGTCTCCCTTGCCAGGTGAGTAAAGGCATTGTTCCTGCTGTGGCTAACTTGCACTTAAACCAAGCACCTCAGTGTCCATCAATGTCAGGCCACAAACTTTTATGAACTCTCTGAGACCTAAACTAACATGCAGTTGAAGTCAACATAAGATTTAGGGAGAGTATTCCCATTGCTTGTACCAGTTTTGCTTTCTGGTAGAGTGACATCTACCTTTGGGCAGGTCAGTCCAAGAATATAAATTATACAGTCTTTGAAAATAAAACAAAAAACAAACCAAAACAAAACAAAACAAAAACCAGACAAAAAGACTGATAGAGTGAAAGGCTTTTCCACAAAATATGTGGTAACAGCTTTCTTCTGACAAAACCTTCTGCCAGACAGAACACTGTCTACCGAAACCACAGAATCATTAAACTACCTAGTTTGTCATGATTTTTTGAGTTATCTTTACAGTAGTTCTTTTTCCATCTCCCCCTCACACTCTTTAAATCAGCTAAGCGCTGTTTTCTGTCCAAAGATGTAGAGAGGTCATGAAAGCTGGAGGTTACACGTGGTGGAAAGAATCACTTCATGTATTTAAGACATATGCATGACAAGCTAAAAAAATAAATTTTAATTATTTTCCTTAATGGTACACTATCCCAGCTCCTCCCTGCTGTAAACTATGACCAGTGTAAATCATGAACACTAATGAGAATACAGCAACGTGAAGACTAAGAAACTTTGCTTTTTTGGCTCCATTACTGACTGTAAGAGGTCCCAAGGCACTATCAGAAGATAAATTTTAAATTGCTAAAATAAATTGGGAGTCCCACTGCATGCAAAAAGAAGCTGTGTTCATCTATAATTATAGGATTACGACCTATTTTCCTACTCAAGATCTGTTCTGTAGGTTTGTTAAGCAGCCTCAGTTTATATTCAGTTCCTGAGGGGGGTTATTCTCATTCTAGATCATTTCTTTAAATTAGTATAAAAACACAAAACCCCACTGTATTAAAATCAGAAAAAAAAAAAATTCCATTATTTACTATTTTTTTCAAGTAATCCAGTATTCATCATAAAATATCCTTTCAATGGCCTTAATTACATATAGATATCCTAAAATTCCATCACATCTATTTTGTTATATTCTTTTATTATATTTTTGACATTTACAACATCATTTTTTTTTCAACTGCCCATGTTTATTCTGTTTCAAGAATTCCAGTCTGCTATTTTACACAGTCTGCAGTTTACATTTTTTTTTAAATTATGTATTTTACCCCTATTGATCTTAGTTACTAAAAATATGTAATTTATATAAGAAATTTCTAATTCTTTGGGATCAATGCTTTCATAACCTCCGTGTATGTAACAATTCCTTCTACAAAAACCCAAGAACCATCTGTGTTATTATTTGGGAAATAAGATTGTCTCTCATTTTTTTTACATCAATTCTTTTTGGTGAAGAGGGGCTTTTTTAACTTGCTTAAATTTTTTGCCCTATTTTAATCCTTTTAAATTTTGTTTTCTTATTTATAGCTTCTTTTTCATGTAGGGAGCTTATTGTCTAAGTCTTCTTCAGTCTAGTCAAATGATGAGTTATAATCTAAACCCAAGATCCAACAGAATGAAAATCATATTATGGAGAGAAAGGATGAAGAAATAGGAAAATGGTACAAGACCAATACTAAAAATATTTTTTACATTTAAGTTTGTACCTGTTGATGTTATAATAAATAAGAATAGATCTCAGTAATAACTACAAATTAATTTCAAATAAATCAGAAAATCAGTTAAATACACTGCTTTCTCACCACTCAGAGAATAAATCACTTAAAAGATGTGATACCAAAAAACGGATTAACTGAATTGTTATACATTAAAAAACTAATTTGTCTATCTTGATTTTCCTTTTCAGTTTTTCTTTATTTTCCCATTTGTTTTCTCTGTGATATTCATTCTTGTATTGGTGGCAAATATTAGCAGCTTCCTACCATCAAAATTATTAAGCTCATTATCTCTTGAACACAGTCTTTTGTGCCAACATAGCAATAGGATGAATAATCTTACATACGATCCCTGTAACTATATATGGCTTGAATGAATTCTAACTACTTTGTAAGTAGAAATGAAAAAAAAAATTGTTATTGTTGTTTGATTTTCCCAAATATTTTTTGTTTATAAGAGTAAGCTACTAGTGACTGGGATAATAAAAAATACTAGGGGATGGGAAGTCTTCAGACATAAATAATTATTTTGTTTTCAGTGTCATTTATTGAGTACAAATACACTGGTTTTAATTAAATTTTAATAATTTAGAACAGTATAAAGCAGTGCACATTAAAATCTGTTATCAAATGAAATCCAGTGATGAAGCGTAGCATTCAAAAGGCTAATTTCTTGGACATTAGCAACTTCAATGAAGTGTTGATTTGTCACACTTAACCCAGGAAAACCAGAGAGAAGGAAACACTATGCAGGAGTTCTCTACCTTGCTTTCTCCTCAGGAGCCACATAAAAATTTTTGCTTGTGTCCATAAAAGGCAGAACTTGCTTCAAATGTGGGGTCCTCCGGCAGAAGCTGTTTTACTGCAGAATGTAGGTCACTGTATATACACTGAGGTAGAATATAATTGTGGGGAATTGCAGCAGGATTGGACTTTGTTGAAAGCTCCTACACATTCAGAATATAAAACTGAAGCCAAAGCCTATAAACTATAGGACATTTTATGCGGATTAACCCTCATTTTGTTTATGCTAGCTGCAATTAGACCACATTGCAAGACATCATCACACAAGCAGAATTTATTATAACTAAACATTACTTTTTAGGAGTTTGCAAACCTATGATATTTGTGGGGTGGTTCTACTTCCACAATATATTGAAGAAATACTGATAGTATGTGCATATTTTGTTTATTGTTATTTTCCTGCAGACTTATTTCGTCCATATGATATTCATATTTTGCAATAAACAAAATTGCCTCTTCCCTGAAATAGCCCTATTATGGAGGTTGAATTGTGAAATGTCTTTCTATTGCTCAGGCCAATCTTAAAATATTTGCCACTAGAGCCAAGCTTTAGTTAGCACAAAACCAGCAAACTAATCCTTTCATTCTTTAAGTGCTTTTCTTTATCTGTGAAAGACTAAAAAATGTCTTTTTAGCTGGCACCAGTGGCTTTGGGGAGTGTTTTACAGTACATTTTTTGCAAATGCTTATTTCAGGTTTATTGGCCTCACAGCAGAGATTACAGAAGACCACACAATTGGAATGATCATTTTTCTTTGCATTAGCAGAATACATTTAGAATGGCAGCAGCTAACCTTAGGGGAACCTGGACTAATGAATGATGCTTCATGGAAAATGTTTCAGCATTTAAGAAGGAGTATTGAGGGGAATCCTCAAAAGTCCAAAAGTCACAGTGAAAGCCAATCAAATGGTGTTTTGGTTTTGTTCTAATTAGGCCCCTATTTACCAGTCTTCAATCGTTCATAAGCACATTGCATGGAGAAAATCAGTTCATGATTTTATAGCTCATGGGTAGAAAATTCTTCATTTAGAGCCTGCGAAACAGACGTTTCTGCATGAGAGAAACTTGCCTTGCTGTAAGAGGCTGCCATGTCATAGTATTTGGAAAAATGTGTGTTTAAGCAAAGGACACATAAACAACAAATAAGGATTATGGAAACCTAGAAACTTCTTTGGCATTTAAGAGAAGATTGATGCCTTCTCCTGAATTGAGGTGTATAGATTAAATGATTTAATTCCCCTTTCTTCATTCTGTGAAAGAAATATATGAACAACAGCTATTCCTTGTGTTTAAAAGCTCATCTTTTTTTTATTTATCTTTTGGCTGCTCACTTCATAATCACATCATAAAGAATCATTGAACTGGAGTTAGAAAAACTATTATATCATCTCTTTAATCCTCCTTCAAAGTTAACATATGATACAGTTCTCCCACAAAGACTAGCACAGACAACTGTCTTTTGAAGAAATTATGTGATAATATAGGAACATGGGTCAATCTCATCCATATTCATTGCTTTTCTCAGCACATCTTACACAAGGAATGAATTTGGAGACATAAACAGTAGTTAAAAATAAATGCTTAAAAGCTAGACCCATATACTGTTTTCATTACATGTCTGAATAATACAAAAATGGGGAATGAAAATGCAAAACATATTGCCATGATCTGTAAGGAGTAAGCACTGTTTATTAATACAGTAGTTAAAACAGTTTTCAAATAAACTGTCAGCCAGCCAAAGACATCTTCTGTGAAATCATAAAAAATGCATAACATTTTAAATGAACAAAGAGATATTTTACAGGTGTGTTCTGGGCAATATCTCAGAAGAAAGATTAACGAACATCAAAAGCTAAAGAAGTAAAATCACTGAATTATATGAATTTTTCACTCTGGAGGACTTAGACACACAAAAAAAAAGTAAATCGAGTCTGGAGACAAAAGACTTTATCAACCCAGTGTTCAACACCACAGAAAGTAATTTCCAAAGTGTGTAAGCCTGCTTCATATGTTCTGAATATTCAGAAAAGCCTCTGAAAAACTTAGATATTTGCTGAATAAAAGAGTTTTTTCAATGTTCAGAATAAACTATTATTAATATATACACATAGATCAGTATACACCAGTAGATCAGAAGCAATCCTACTGTAATCACCTAAAAATAGTCTATAGTCTCACTAATGTCACTAGCTTGCACAAGTCAGTTTGAAGATTTGGGGTAAAGACATCATATTACGCACTAAATAGTGTATGAAGTAGTTTTTTCCATCCACTCCACATTGTAGTAATTAAATGTTTATAGAAGCAATTTCATGACAATTCCAACTTGATCACACTGAACTCTCAAAATTACTCTTTTCAAATGAGGACAGACCATCTTTACAGAAGAAAAGATACTTCTGGTTTTATGTCAAATTTTTCCTTGCTCTCTGCTGAGACTGGGAAGATGATACTAGCTTGTACTTTCTTTTAGCTTGTATTTACTTCCTTTAGAGGATTAGGAAATGGG